AATATGTAGAAAGATCGGGAAATTACGCGACATATGATTAGTGCTTCTTCTTTACAACGAAAAATTAAAATCACAACTTCGAAATCACTGTTTTTGACAAAGAAAAATAATATATTAAATGCGAGTGGTGGTGCCATCTGTTGAGCAAGTGTAAAGACTTACTAAAAACTTGCGTTGTAATAAAAGTTACGGTTTAACGCCGAAAGTTGGAGAAGCGTTAAAATTTGGCCTAAAATTTGTGGCACAAATCAAATTAACCATATATCATTTTCTTGCACGTTCTTCTTAACATGTCCACGGCGGTTTTCAAATGAAAGAAGTACAAAAACACCATTTCAGATCTATCTTTCGTGTTTCACAAGTCACTCACTGTCCATGAGGCTTTTCGTTCAATACCAACACGTCAGCTGAGCTGGACGATGAGAGAGAGAAAATATTTTTTGAAAATATTTATATATATGCAGATGTGTTCTTAATGTTATTAAATTGTAGCGGATAGAATACGGGTTCCTTGCGAAAAGCCTACATTTTAGCATTTCATAAGATGTTTTCAGAGATAATTTGCCTCCACACTAACATTGCTTTAAAATATTGATACAGTTTAAGGCTGGAAGAATACAAAAAAAAAGACAAACAAATATCTAATACCGATTTCTCTGCTGAGACTAAATGACGTGGCCTGTACTTAATAGCTAAGTTGCGCCCAAGCTTTCAAGTAAACATGGAAAGTACTTGTTGGCCAAAAGTTGGTATTGAAGAAAGTACAGATATTGGGTAAAGAAACAAGCATGACTTAATCTTTAAGTCGCTGGTAAAGTTCATCATTACGTTTACGACTATTGTATGCTAATACACCCAACCGTCTTACGGTATGTTTAGTAAACTATCACGAATGGGTGGTGACTTTTCCAGATTATAGTCGAATACATCCAACCGTCTTACGATATGTTTAGTAAACTATCACGAACGGGTGGTGACTTTTCCAGATTATAGTCGAATACACCCAACCGTCTTACGGTATGTTTAGTAAACTATCACGAATGGGTGGTGACTTTTCCAGATTATAGTCGAATACACCCAACCGTCTTACGATATGTTTAGTAAACGATCACGAATGGGTGGTGACTTTTCCAGATTATAGTCGAATACACCCAACCGTCTTACGGTATGTTTAGTAAACTATCACGAATGGGTGGTGACATTTCCAGATTATAGTCGGCCCGGCATGGCCAGGTGGTTAGGGCACTCGATTCGTAATCTGCAGGTTCGTATCCCCGTCACACCAAACATGCTCGCCCCTTTCAGCCGTGGGGACGTTATAATGTGACGGTCAATCCCACTATTCGTTGGTAAAAGAGTAGCCCAAGAGTTGGCGGTGGGTGGTGATGACTAGCTGACTTCCCTCTAGTCTTACACTGCTAAATTAGGGACGGCTAGCGCAGATAGCCCTCGTGTAGCTTTGCGCGAAATTCAAAACAAACAAACAAACAAGATTATAGTCTACGCCTGACCTAAGGTTGAGAGATCGATGACGCTGGTGAGAAAACCGGACTAGTCTTTCTATAATGAAATCTACGTGGATTAACAAAATGAGACGTCAGGATGGAGCAGGTCTCGTTTAACACAATTATTTGCTACAACATATATTTATCCTTGATTATATATTTCCTGTTCCATATAGCTCACGAAAAAATATCGTTCACAAAAGAAATGGTAGTTTGAGAACGGCGGAGAAGAAAAAGAAGTTTTAAGGTTCTTCACTTTAACCCATCATGGTAACGTATTTAATGAACCTATTAAAATGATCCAATATGCAATGAGAACTTTAGTTTTTTCTTTACAATCCTATAAACCTTACGAATTTTGTTATGACGTGGAATTACCTATCCTAATCACACTACAATTGTCTCACTATACAAAGGCGAGTGTGCCAGTGATTAAAGTGTTGGACTGTGATTGGAAGGTCCAAGGTTCGAGCCGTTGAACACATTCTAGTTTTCTCTTTATCATTCTATAAACCTTACGAATTTTGTCGTGACGTGGTATTACCTATCCTAATCACACTACAATTCTCTCACTATAGAAGGGCTAGGTGTGTCAGTGATTAGTGTGTTGGACTGTAAATGGATGGTCGAAGGATCGAGCCGTCGAATACACTCTACATTTTTTGTTGTGAGTGCATCATACAACTTGCATGCAATCGCTTTAAAGCCAGACAATGATCTTGGTGATTGTGTTTTGGTTGCCTCTTCTCTGGACGGTACTTCAAAATTATCGGCGGCTATACCTTATTTCTAAGGGTCTTTGACTTCCAATTTATTCCATAAAGGTGCCATTCAGGTTGAAAATGCGCTACGAAGATGGGTACTCTTACAAGTTACTTTTAGTACATTAAACAATTGCGATAAAAAATAAACCGCAATACTTGTGAATTTTTAACATGTTATGATGGTAAAATACACTACAACTGAATTCTGTAACATAACTTTTGTAATTTCAAAAATCTTTATAAAATTGTTACTATGAAACCTGTAATTTTGTGCATAATATCAAATTAATATTAATGAGAAAAAATAAAGGAAGCTGAGAAAGTCGTTAGTTAATAAACAAGATAAGTGGATTTCGTCTTATCATTAATAGATCAAAAACAAAGACGAAATACACAGCTGCAGTATAAAACTTAAAAAAAAAACAAAAAAACACCAGCAAAGCTACTTTTGAACGTTAAAGAATTTGAATTCTTCCAAGTACAATAAGTGCCTGAACACTTCAACTTCACATTGGTGAGTGTTGGGATATTACCTTCCTCAATGTTTGCAATGCTTGAGTTGTGAAGTCATGAATTAAAACTATGGCCAAAATGTCTTAAAGATTGAAGCTCAGAAATAAGTCTTGGCTATGGTCTCCAATAACATAAAAAATATAAAAATAGCCTCCAACACGTTCTCTTCTAGTACATACTTTACCCCCAACTCGTCTCCTCCTACAAATTTCTTTTGCCTCAACCGTGAAGACAAGAAACTTATCCTTTCCACGAAGTTACAGCCTCCACTTTACAAGAACCCCAGACACACTTTACTTGGCGGTGACGTTATCTAAGCAGTTCCACCGCTGCGATTACTGAGAGAATAATAGCTCAGTTCCATAACCTGTTCTGAGCACTTTTTTTTTTGTATGTGTGTGAGTGAAGTTTCAGCAGTTAATTGTTGTTGTTTTTTACAGGAAATATAGAAAGTAGATACTTTCAAGTGCATGGTCATCTTTCGTTGAAAAATTACACTAGAACCAATACCATAGAAGGCAACATTGAAATCATAGCTTCATGACCATAGGAAGAGCATTCTCACTTTTTTTTGAACACGCTCAGCAGTTTATTTGTTTTTTGTTGCAGAATAACTTTTGTTTGCGACTTTAAGAGCTGTTAATTGAACTGTGGTATATCTATGTTTGTATATCTTTCTGGACTACTTTCCATAAAAGAATAAATTATCATTTTACACATCTCACATTTATATATTTCAAGTTTCATATAATATTATTCGATACTAATTTTCCAACTCACGTTTAAAGATATTGAAATCAGTAAAACATGACATTGTTCTACACGTCAGTTCAGAATTCATTATGTCATGTCAGTCTAATACAACATATAACACGTCTAACGTTAACTACGTTTTGAACATTAGCTTCTGAACGTTTAACAGTTCTTGATATCTCACAGTGTATGTTAAAGTGTTATTAATTAAATGACAATATTTTGAACTGTTGCTTTTTTATTTTAAATGAAAAGTTCAATTCACACTGTATTTTCTATTGTTTGTAGTTAAGCATTCGATTTTTTTTTTTTGCTTTTAGGCTTGTTTAAGTAAATTCTTAAGAATCAGGAACATTCTGTAGGCTTACATTATAATCATTTATAAGTAAGTTTAGGGACATTAAAACTAAGTAAGTTGCTTTCTCGTAAAGCAGTTTTCACGAACTATTTCTAGTCTAGAAGCATCAATTTGTATATCACATTTATAATTCTGGTGTAATGCCATAACATGACAACGAATAAGCTTGTATTTTATTTTAAACATAAGCAAATACTATTTGTTTTAGGTCACTATACATATTTTAAATGTGTTTTTTTTTTCTGCCATCTCAGATTGTTCAATTCTTCGCTACGTCGCCTAATAAAAAATATTGTTTATTAATAATGAAATCGGACATGACTCGGACACGAGACTCTACTAACCTGGAAAATTCTTTAGGCAAGAAAGTTACCTCTCTTGAATGTAACAACTCTCAGTCATTCATTTTTATTCTCTCAGCCATTTATTTCATTGGTTCGCAAGAACGAAAACTGGCAGTGTGTTTATCAGCTTCAATTCCAAACATTCATGTGTTCTTTGCAAGAAATTACTACTGCAAAACAAACTATTTTTTAAGAAGATCAATTTTACAGATTTTGGTATTAAGCTGATAAGTGCAAGAAATTGATACAGCGTAAATTTAAAGTGAAAAGTCTGACAGCAAATTGAACTCGAAAACGAAATCAAACTAATAGACAATACTCTAGACGAGAGTCAAAACTGTTTATAAATATTGTAATATACAAGTATGTTAGGAGTTCACGTTGTTCGGTGTTTGAAACCACAAATTGCAGTTAATAACGGAATTAATACGAAACTTCTCAAAGTAATTTCATCATTTGACAACTGAAAGAGTCATTGTTTTGTTTGGAAAAAAATAACTTTGACCGAATTTCCTCATTAGTAAAAAGATTATATATAAAAAATCATTGCACGCTAAAACTAAGTTAAAAACTTATATAAATAAATAAACTCAGGACTTTCTTATACAAATAACGAGTGAAAATAAGAGTATCTTCTTCCATTTCACCCATTTGGTAAAAATCTCATGCGTGGTAGATACAGATACAGGCCATCTATCGTTATTATTAACAAGGTTCGGTAGCCGGCATTAACTTTAAAGAAAATGTATAAAATTGAACTTACATGCTGATTTTGAAGTAAATTTGTCTCGTTGTGCAGCACAGACAGCCAATAGTCGATAGCCAAGATCAAGATCAAAACCCTGCTGGGAAGCTACCCTGTTGACCACCTGAAAATTATTGAAATATTAAAAATGTTGGTAATTTTTAAGCTATAACCTGTAAAACAAATCATCAAAGGTTAATGACGATAAAACACTACGCATGTTTTAAAAATAACAACATGGTGTTCTTTCATTGTGAAAATATTATTGTATATTTTGAAATAAAATGAAAATTCAATTAAACAATAAAAAAGAATTATGGATTAATTACAAACCTAAAAATAAAATTGATTCTGCAAACGTTGGCCAAGCGTGGCCAAAATGTTAGCGTGCCAGACTGCGGAGCTGAAGTTCCGTGGTTAGCGCTCCATTACTGACAAAAATAAAATTCGCGCTCTGTGGGTGCGTAATAAGAGTGATGGTCAAATCCCACTGTTCGGTCTGATAAGAGTAGCCCAAAAATTGGCGGTAGGTGATGTTGACCAGCTGTCTTATTCTCGTCTATCACTTGAAAACTAAGGATGACTAGCGTAGATAACCCTCGTTTATCTTTGCGCAAAATCCAGCAAACAAAAATAAATTGATTATGCAAAGAACGGAACCTATAAAGAAAGATTAAAAAAAAAGAAACGTTCTATTTTACTAAGACTGGTTTAAGATAATTTCTAAAGCAAAACAGATAATTGTTCCCTTATTTCTTTTACAATTAAGTTAGTTAATATTTTAATACCCAATATTTCAATCTGCGCACTGACAATATAAGTCTGTATCATAACCGGCAGTGTTGTTTGAAACCTGCATTCCAACTTTTACTTACCTTTTGTATGTTGTTGATGTTATTTTCTTAGTGCAAAGATACACCATGGGCTATCTGCACTCTGCCCACCGCAGAGAATCGAATCCCGGATTTTAAAAGTTAAAGTTCGTAAACTTACAGCTGATCCCTCGGGGGACCCCTTTTATATAATTAAAAATTAATTATATTACCCTTGAGTTTTGATATTAAATTACATAATGATTACAATATTAAGATTTGAATAAGGCATATAAGTAAGTTTTACGCGCTAAATATATATTTGATCTGATTTAAAACTGCTGACCGAGTTAAAAATTTAATGAGGTGAAATTCATCATTTAAATATTTTTTACCAATAGTTAATTAATTGGCTAATTAACATGAAAAGTTCTTTTTCTTTGGTTTGTTTCATTCGGATGTTCGTACAAAGCTATCTGCGCAAGCTTCCATAATTTCAAGCCGATAGATTAGAGCAGTGATTCTGAACGTGGGGCGCACGCTCCACAGGAGGGCAATTTAAATATATTGGGGAGCAATTTGAAAATGCTACAATAAGAAAAACTTCTCATTTGGGTAGAGCGAAAAACGTTCCGTGACTCAAAACTAAATTCCTAAATTTTACATTATATTATTATACCTTTTCAACACCAATTTTGTTTTTATATTAAGGGGCATCAAATTTTTTGAGGTGTCGAGGTGGGAGTGGAGCATAAAAGGTTAAGAACCACTGGACTAGAGGGAAGACATCTATTCAGCATTACTAACTTTTTGGCTCCGCTTAACGACAAGTAAGACTTGTCAATCATTATTATAATGCACCCACAGCTCCAATGTGCGGGGAACGATTTACGGCAACAGGACGCGAACCATGTACCTTCGGATCTACTATCCTTCAAAATAACCCTTAGACCACACATGGCCAACTTCTGTGTCTTAGTGAGCTGGTGTCACGTGTATCTATCTACCATACCTAAGTCCATAACGACATTTATTTAATTCAGTAGTCTTTAACACCAGTGTTGCTTTTGTTTAAAATTAAGCACAAAGCTACACAATGGGCTATCTGTGCTCTGCCCACCACGTGTATCGAGACCAGACCCGGTTTCTAGCGTTGTAAGTTCGCTGTGGCACTGGGGGGCGTAAAGCGTAAACAGGAAAAGGGCCTACTCAATTGTATATTTAGTTTTTAATTTGGAAATAGACCACAACTAACTATGTAGCACAGTAGTGCGATTTTTCAGTCATAATTATAAAATTATAGCTATGAAAGAATAAAAAAATAAAAGTTCCAGCTATTTAATTTCTCACCCCCAGTTGCACAGCGGCATGTCTGTAGACTTACAACGCTAGAAACCGGGTTTCGATACCCGTGGTGGGCAGAGCACAGATAGTCCTTTCTAAAGCTTTGTGCTTAACCACAAACAAATAAACTCTTGTCTCTGATATGTGAAACTGCCATTCTCGGTAACAAACATGAAGTTGGCATTGATTAATGGCGCCCCCAACCAAAAGAAAAAAAAAAAGAATAAAGAAGCCTATAATATATATATATATATTCGAGTAATATTCTTTATTTGTCTGTTTAAGCGCACAGCTCCACAATGGAGGGTACTCATTTTAACATCAGAAGATAATTTTCTAAAACTGTGTACGTTATATTTCATTATGAGACACAATAACAGAGAAGTTTTTTCCTAGCTTCTTTGATTTAAATTAGATTTTTGCAATTACATGTGTGGCAACCATAAAACTCGCACATGATTCTTCCCAGTTCGAGTACCGACGCAAAAGTTAAAAGAGCATTTTAAAACATAAGGGAAAACAAGGCTGGTTGTAGGATGCAGTGAGCTGGAACAAATGAACTGTTAGTAGTGAGTGGACAATGCATTCAGTGTTAAACGTTGTAAAAGCATTCCGTCAACCTCCCCTCCGGTATCAATTAAATTTCGGGTTTCAGCAAAGAAACGCGGTAAAATGCCTGGAAATGAGAAACAAAAATTATGGTTGTTGTGTCTAATAGCTTTCTTCCTTTGAAGACTCTACAGGCGGATGGCAGACCATCATTTCTCAACGCCCAAGTCTATTGATATAGCGGTATATACCTTTGATGCGGACAATACATGTCGGTATCATGCCGTGGGAAGGGATGACCTTGAAAAATTACATAACAAGTGGCCGTATTAGTAAATATGCGTTGGTCACACCAGGGGGCGAGGAGAAGAAGTGAGCACTGCAAGCCAGTAAACATATGTGATCATACATACCCAAGGGCCCCTCAGTAGCACAGCGGCATATGTCTGCGGACTAACAACGCTAGAATCCAGGTTTCGATACCCGTGGTGGGCAGAGCACAGATAGCCCATTGTGTAGCTTTGTGCTTAACTTAAAACAAACAAACAAACATACCCAAGAAATGCATATAAGCTACAAGTGGAAATGCCACTAAACACACTATGATCATAAACGTGAAATCAAAATGAATTGCATGTAAAAATTACACGTTATTAAATACGCAAATTTCATGCCTTTTAATTTGAATTCAGGTAGAATGAATATTACTCTTGTTTTACTATTTATATTGTAAAAAATGTCAGTAAATCATTTAGGATTTTAGTTTCATAAAACTGAAATATTACTTTTCTGCAACTGAAATGAACTTTTGGATGTGGGAGCGGGTTGGTCCTGTGTCAAAACTTTGAATTTCGGAGCTTGCGAGAGGGATTCGAATCCATTCGATATAATAAAATATTTCCAATACTTTAAGATGTGGGTGTGTTACAAGAGTGACAATCACTCTCTTACATTCTTTTGTTTATGCTAGATAGAGAATTAATGTTTGATAACTGGTTTTATGTCTCGCCTTCGAAGTTGTGTAATGAATTATTCTTCAATCTTGTACACATTGGGTTGAAGGTCATAATGACGACTGAAACATGCCCTCTTCGTAAAGGTGTTTCATTCGTAATATACTTAGAAAAGACAAATTACTTCAGTGTCGCCTTTTTCACACTCTCTAGAGGGCGCGTTCAAGACTATTCCATAACAAGGCTACACTCGCTAGCGACATAACTGATAAACAAACGGCGTGGACCAAAAATTTAGGATATTGGCAGTTTTGTCTTTGGTTACAATATATTAACATAAAGAAACTACGATCTCATACCGTCAGTACAGAATGAATATCAGTTTTAAACACAAGAACATTCAAGGTGACAAAAGGTTATTCGGCCCATTGTATTCACCCCTTAATCAAAACCAGCAACTACAAAAAATAATAATAATAATTGTCACTTGTTCAATGGTATGGCCACAGGTGTTAAACGTTAATGCTTGTAACCACAGAGGTTCACTGTTAAAAATACAAGGGTTGGTTTGAAAATCGCGCAATGCTACACTAAGGCTATCTGCGCTAGCCGTCCCTAATGTAGCAGTGAAAGACTAGAGGGAAGGCAGCTAGTCATCACCACCCACCGCCCATTCTTGGGCTACTCTTTTACCAACGAATAGTGGGATTGACCGTCACGTTATAGAAATTGTGATAGGCCTAAGGGACCTATCGAATTTGACTCGCCACGACTTGATTAGGTAATTACATGTATATATTACATATATGATTAAGATAATAAAATAAAAGAGGCATGAGCTCGAAATTAATTGTTTATTTTTGAATGCTGTAGAAGATATTAATGAAGTTTGATAGAAAGCTGTGCTAATTAATACGAGAATAAAAAAATGGTTCGTTGTTGTCTCAGGAGCAGCTCCAATTTTGCGAAAGCACTACAGCTATTAAAATAACCACTTAATCTTGAGCTCGTGCTTCTTTATTTTATTATCTTAATTATACGCTTAGTTGGACTTTCAAACAAATTTGAAATTTAGATATATAGTTTTGTTACAAGACCTGGATTTCATAAGATATCTGTAAGTTTTAACAACATAAACAGCACAGGTTATTTTAATATGATTAATTACAAGAAAGGTGAAAACGTTTGAATTTGTTCTTCCAAGCATTACAAAAGCAACGTCTAGCGGAAAACATTATTAACTGTGAAGAAGTCTTTTTACGTTGAACAGTTCTACACAACCAAAGAATGATCAGATATTAATATCAATTAACCTTAGACTTTTTCCAATATTTCTATTATAATAAGTATATATACATTTATATGTGTATACGTGTGTGAGTGTATATATATATATATTCATAGAAAGGGAGTGATTCAGCCGTATTTCTTAGTGTTTTATCATTCTGTGTGAATGCTATAATTTTTTGACCACTTGGTTGAAACGTATATATATACGAGTTAAGCCCTAATGTGTTAAAACGTAGCTATAGAACATAATACGATATGTTAATAACTTAATACACCATATAATTATGAAAAAATATTTCATCCTGTTCTTGTTCCATGTTTGACAGGCACTACCATGGAATAGTTGTATACATGACATTATGTGGGATAATGATATACGACTTATAGCGAATTATCTGTTTTGTTGAATGAAAACGTAGATTTGTAAGATAAAGAGTGCACTGAAGTACATCATTGTGTGCTACAGCTCTTTGGTCCCTGACAGAATATATTTTATTTACAACTTCATCAACTAAACAAGTCACATCAAACAAGTTATTTCACACGAGAAATCTTAAGTACAACGAGACATCAGGGATCATGTTATGGATTTTTTTTTTTACTCTCCCATTTTTACTGCACTGTGCACACAACAACTCGAAATGTCTACTTGAATAAAGGAAATCAAACACAGCCTAACATTTTTTTCGGTAGCTTGCTTTTTCAAGATGAAAATAATTAAAACTGGAGGATTTCAGTGTTATCCAAACACCCCCCCCCCCCTTGTTTAATGAGTGAAAGACACCCCAACACCCCTCTGTTTAATGAGTGAAAGACACCCCAAAGACCCCTCTGTTTAATGAGTGAAAGACACCCCAACACCCCTCTGTTTAATGAGTGAAAGACACCCCAAAGAACCCTCTGTTTAATGAGTGAAAGACAATGATTTTTTTTCTGGGTATTATTACGATATGACACGATACCACACGTAGTTAGTAGCAAGTGTTATTCTAATGACCAAAGGGGTGAACAAATTATAATAGCCAAAGAAGACAGTAGCGTTACAGGTGATGTATTCTAACATCCGGTAATAAT